ACCACCACACTCAAGGACAGCGATGACCACCATGGCCAAGGGCGGTGACCACCACACTGAAGGACAGCGATGGCCACCATGGCCAAGGGCAGTGACCACCACACTGAAGGACAGTGATGATCACAGCCCAGAACAGTGATGATCACTGAAGTCAAGGACTATGACCATCATAGCCAAGGACAGGGATGAGAACGACAGGATACTGACCATCTCCAAGAACAGTGACCACCATATCCAAAGACAGTGATGATCACAGCCAAGGACAATGACCACTCCCCAAAACAGTAACCATCAAAGCCCAGGACAGTGATGACCATGAATGACCCTGGGTAGTGACCAACATGATCAATGACAATGACAACCACCACAGTCCAGGACAATGGCCACCCCAACAAAAGACAGTGGACTTGACCATGGACAGAGCCCACTACCATGGCTAAGGATGGTGGTGACCACTACGACCAAGGACAATGATGACCACCACCATGTAACAACAATGAGTAGGTGGACAACTGCAAGGGTAACAAATGCTGACCCAGTGAGAAGCGATCAGCTTGGCTTGGTGGCCAAACCCCGCCTGGGTATGTCTGGTCTGGTTGGTGGGGGTTGAATTTCCCCTCCCCCAGGAGTCCAGCCAGAGCTGTGGGCAGCACCCAGCAGGCCCTAGGGGACATAGGGGCAGATAGTCCTCCTGGAGTACACTACGGGGATACTGCTGGTTAGAAGGGGCAGCCTGGGCCTGCTGGCATTCCCACGGGGGCCTAGACTTACGAAGGGGCTCTTTGTGGGAGACTCGGGCTTGGCCTCTGTTTCGTCTGCTGAGATATTCAGCTCCTCAATCCTTGCTTTAAGAACCTGTGGGCTCTCTGACCATCCCCCCATCTTGTCCGACGTGTGTGGGGCCATCTTCCCACCCCAACATTCTGTCCAGTGTGGGGGGCCCTCAGTCCACTCTACCCTCCTGTCCAGCATGTGTGGGACCCTCTGACCACCCCACCATTCTGTCCACTGTGGGGGCCTTCTACCCACCCCACCATTCTGTCCAGCACATATGGGACCCTCTGTCCACCCCACCATTCTATTTGGCATATGAGAGACACAGGTGTCTCCACTATCTGTCTAGTGGATGTGACCCTTCACACCGCCCACCATTCTCTCAGCATGTGAGGAGGCCCTATAACCATTCAACATCCTGTCCGGTGTGGGGGAGCCTCTGCCCACCCTGCCTTTCTGTCCGGCATGTATGGGTCTGCCATCTTTTTGGCTGCAGGGATCCCTGAAGTTGCGGAGTTGGGGTTAGAGTTGGCTCAGAACAGGTGCATCTATGCTGTGGTGCCGTCTCTGAGGTGGGCAGTGTGCGGGCATTGGCCCAGTCCTGCTGCCCTGGCTCTGTGTCCCTCCTCCACCCAGCCACTGCACTCCCTGTTCACACAAGCTTAGAAATATCCCCTGGGACCCAGAATAGACACGGACCCTCAGAAGTAGCCACCTCACAGGCAGTGAAGGGTTAACAAGGGGCACCCTGTTCTGGGCACCCTCTCTGCTGACCCCTTCTGCGGCCCTGTCTGGACCAGATGACCCTCCTGTGTGCTCATTTCTTGCATGACAAGTTCCAGCCAGCTGACCCATGCTGAACGCTCACAGAGACTGTCTCACAGCCTGGGGGCGGCTGCTCGGGCCACCCGCCAGGTCAGGAGACCTCCCTGGGCGCGCTTTCCAGAGGCCAATGCCCACCCGGCCGTGCCCCACCAGCCTGGTCCGACCGTGGTCGGGTGCCCCCACCCGCACTGTCCTTACCGCTGCACCCTGCCTGCCAGGTCCTGCGGGGCCCGCTCACCCGCTCCCTCACGCCAGCCGCCCGACACCACAGGATCAGCCGCTCGCTGAAGAAAGGCCCAAAATAACCTCAGCCACAAGTTCTTCTGCGCGACAGGTGCGTTACTAAGTTAGACTGCACACGTGTCCCGCTGTGGAGCCGGCACACGCGAGCTCCCGCGGTTTCCCAGAGCTAGGCTGGGCTGGGCCCTACGAGACAAGGACCCCCTGAGGAGGCCGGGCTCCCCCTGAGGAGGAAGCCGGGCTCCTGGGCCAGGCCTCAGACAAGCCCTTCTCCCGGGCAGCTCCTGGCTCCCGCGCCAGCTCAGCATGTCGGTGACGGTGCAAGGACCAACGAGGCAGAGGGACAGTGACAGAGAATGAGGCCAAGACTCTCACCCACACCCACACTCACACCCACACCCACACATGCTGGTCACTCCATCGTCCCAGGTGACAGATTTCTACCCCATGGTCACTCCATCTTCCCAGGTGACAGCGAGTTATAACCCCCCATGGTTACTCTGCCGTCCAGGTGACAGCAAGTTCTTACCCGCCCCAGTCACTCCATTGTCCCAGGTGACAGCGATTTCTAAACCCCCCATGGTTACTCTGTCGTCTCAGGTGGCAGAGAGTTCTAACCCTCCCATGGTCACTCTGTCGTCCAGGTGACAGTGAGTTCTTACCCCCCCCC